CTCAGAGCATGTACATAAATTATCAATGGTTGACTTTGGCTCTGAATAACGCATTCTTTTAAAAAAATGGTCCACTATACGCAACCGGCCATTGTTCCCGAATATTATAAATCAAATACGAAGTCCTAACTGATAAATTAAAGAGTACCTGAAATTATCCTTCTTTAAAGCATCTCAGGTAACAAACCTAATAAGATTCCAATATAAACAGTATTTTCATTAATAATGTATCAAAGATGAAGATGAAGAAATTGTCACGGATAAATCATCTTTACATATGTACACCAAAAATGAAAGTACATAACAAAATATCAATAATTAAACTTGGTTCATTCAAAAGATTATCGGGAGCTCAAGCTACATTTTGGAGGAGATACTCCACTCGACTAAAAGATTCACTAGCTAATTGGATATAATATATAAAAAGGTACTATCACAAATCCGAAAACTCATATTCATGCAAACCTCTCTATTTTTATTCTTCATGAAAATCCATACAATTGATCAGAACATAGTACTGGTTTCGTAAATATCTCAAGTTCTCAACTATCTAGACCAAGTCATGAAAGTACTTTTTCAAAAAAAAAAAAAATGTCATGAAAGTTGTCATTTTACTGAAAAAATAAAAGAATTTATCAAATAATATAATAATAATTAGAAATTGAACGAGGAAATATCCTTTTTTTTTTGTCACAAGGAAATATCCTTATTATTATTAATTAGTCCTTTTACACATGGGTCGTACCAATTTGTCGGCAGCCTCCATGCACGTAACTTCATGGCCACATGGACCCTCACACACTTTATGCACACGTGTCACTCTCAACTCCTACGACCCGATCTACGAAGCAACCTGTTCCTCGTTTTGGACGGATTCACGTGGCACACAGTCAATGGTCAGGGTTTCCAAGTTAATTAACCAATGATATATCGCCACGTCTCAATAGTTGAAACCCTTGTCAAACTGTTTATATATCCTCGGCGACTTACTCGAAACAAACACAAAACATCCAAAAACAAACTTTGATATAAGTAATCTTAGTGACATGATCCATACGAAAACCGGACCGGTTCGCCGGATCCTGACTTTTCCGGCCGTGCAACCATTCGAGTCAATCTCCGTAGTCACACTACTCGACTCGCTGATTCAACTCGCCGGCGACATTCTCGTATTCAAGCCAAAACACTCCTCCACCAACAAACGAAGCTTCCAAGAAACTCTCAGGCATATACAAAACCTAGCTCTCGTCTTCAAGGAGATCCAGATCCGGGTCGAGAATCCGAGAAGCTACTTCCCTGACTCTACCGCCGTCTCGAGCCTCTCGGAGATCCACGTCATCTTCCAGAAGCTCAAGTTTCTTCTAGAAGACTGCACTAGAGATGGAGCTAGGTTACATATTCTGATGAGCTCGGATCAAGTCTCGGATCATCTCCGGGTCCTAACAAGATCCATTTCCACCATCCTTAGCACTTTTCCACGCTCCTCCGTTGACTTACCTAACGAAGTCAACGAGCTGATCGACCTAGTGGTGCGGCAAACCCGTAAGTACAACGTCCAATCCGAGCCGGATGATAAACGAGTCATCACCTCCGTTTATCGGATCCTTGCTCTGTTTGAAAACAGAGTGATCCCTGATCGGGATGAAATAAACGGGATCCTGGATCACGTAGGGATTAAAAAATGGGGAGATTGCATCAAAGAGATCAACTTTCTCGGAGAAGAGATAGCGACGGAGAGGTTAGAGAAGAAGAAGAACAACAACAATAACGCTCGAGTCGAGCTTCTCAGTAGCTTAATTGGTTTTATATGCTACTGCAGATGCGTGATACTGCGACGGTTCGAGAGAAATGATCGTCATCATCGTTATCATGACGATGGTAATGAGAAAGATCAAGACTTGATTCGAGGATTAAAAGTTGAGGATCTCTTTTGTCCAATTTCTCTAGAGATTATGATAGATCCTGTAGTTATAGAAACAGGGCACACATATGACCGGAGCTCCATCACGAAATGGTTCGGATCCGGGAACATCACGTGCCCGAAAACCGGAAAGATTCTGGCGAGTACTGAGTTAGTCGATAACGTTTCCGTGAGAAAAGTGATTCAGAAACACTGCAGAACAAACGGTGTCGTTTTAGCAAGGATTGGACGGAGAAAGAAGACTCACGACGACATGGTGCCAGAGAGTTTGGCTGCAAAAGGAGCAGGCAAACTCATCGCTATGTTTCTCACTTCAGAGTTAATCAATGGTGGTGAAGAGACGATATACAGAGCCTTGAGAGAGATTCGTGTTCTGACTAAGACAAGTAGATTTAACAGGTCTTGTCTGGTCGAAGCTGGTGCTGTGTGTCCGCTTTTGAGTCTCCTGAGCTCCGGAGATTCCAGGATTCAAGAGAACGCAATGGCTGGACTTTTGAATCTCTCAAAAGACGTCGTCGGAAAATCTAAAATCGCTGGAGAAGAAGGGTTACGGATCATCGTAGAGATTCTCAACGAAGGAGCTAAAACAGAGACGAGACTATACTCTGCTTCTGCTCTGTTTTGTCTCTCTTCCGTTGAAGATTACAGTAGATCGATCGGAGAAAACCAAAACGCGATTCCTGGATTGATGAAGATCGTTAAAGGAGATGAATTCAGCGATTCAGCGAAACGCACCGCTTTGCTCGCGGTTATGGGTTTGTTAATGCAATCCGATAATCATTGGCGTGTCCTCGCCGCCGGAGCTGTTCCGATTCTTCTCGATCTATTGCGATCGGAAGAAAGCGGCGACGAACTCACGGCGGATTGTTTAGCGACGCTTGCGAAATTAGCCGAGTATCCCGACGGGACGATCGGGGTGATCCGTCGTGGCGGGTTGAAACTGGCGGTGAAGATTTTATCTTCGTCGGAAGTTTCGTCGGCGGTGAAGCAGCACTGTGTTGCTCTGGTTTTAAGCCTTTGTCTTAACGGAGGAAGTGACGTCGTTGGGGTTCTGGTGAAGAACTCGTTGGTAATGGGATCGCTTTACACGGTGTTAAGTAACGGAGAATATGGAGGAAGTAAAAAGGCTAGTGCGCTTATCAGAATGATACACGAGTTTCAAGAGAGGAAAACCGGTTTAGTTGAACCGGATCTTCAAAGAGGACGGTTCGTTCACGCTTGGTGATTTTGGTGGTAAAACAGTAACTCTTGAGTATTTTAAAGAGTTATTTACCAAAAAAAAATGGAAATTAATTTATTTAGGTTTAAGGGCTGAAAA